ATTTAGAAATATTTACAATTTTAATTTGATATTATTTAAGCTCAATAAAACACACGAACTTCAAAGAAAACTATAGTCAGTGTGATTTTTTGTTTTAATGAAGGAAGTATATATAAGTTGTACAGGCAAGATGGGGAAAAAATTGAGTAAAAAGATACAGGGAACACTAGTATAAAATACCGATGCTTTATTTTCAATCGATTGCGATGTCGCGAATACGCATAAGGTATGTACACAGACGTCAGACCATTTTACATAGTACAATTCTCATCTATGCATTAAAAGAAGTAATTTACGTACTAACTTTAAAAGTAACGCAATTATTAAATGTTTCGTTTTTCTCTGACTCGGTAAAAAGTACGGTAGATCAGATACAATATTCGATGAATATCTTGGGCGAAGTGTGTTTTGAGGTATATCAGTGTGGTATTTCCTATTGCGCTATTAATAATAAAAAAACGAAGAGACAAACAAAAAAACCATTCGACACTTGACAGATCAGTGAAAAGTTTCGTGAAAATGTGTGGGAAAATGTACACGTATTTAACCGAGTTGTGTATGTGTATTTATGTCTACATATTTATAATTATAAACGCAAAATGAATCACCGATTATGGAGTATGGTTTCCGTGCATGATTTACGCATATCATACATGGATGTTATACTTCCTTATTTTATTGAGAAGCTCGAGCTCGAGTTTTTTTCTAGACGATCTTCTCGTCCTTATAAAAATAAAAAAAAAAGGAAACTTAATCTGCTGCTTCACTATCGCTTTTATCTACATCGAACTCCATGATTAATTTTTTTCACTCTATTTTTCATCACTATTCTCCTGTCCTCAATTCAACTTTTCGAAAATATCGCTAATCTCGTCAGTTTTAGACGATGATCACGTCTTATTTGTTTTCCAATATCGTCAGATTTTTACCAAATAAAAAAATTATGGATCTTGTTTAAGTGAAGTTAATGAGATTAGTCGATTAGAAAAAATGGATTGAATTACACAATGCTCCATAACTCGGTCTTTCTCTACAGCGTTATATGTCGCTTTTATATACATCTCATTGCTTAAATGCTAAACACACGCATCACGCTCGTGTCCCGCATTTTTTCCTTCGCGATCAGACAATCCCACCGTCTCTCGTTAGGAACCTACGACGGATTACGCGAGATTACATCTCGGCTCGAGCGAAACCCGACGCGCAATAATAAATCTACGCGTATAGTAAACGAATATATCGTTTCTTAAGACACTCTGCATTACATTAGTTACAATTATGTACACATATACGAACGCAACAAAAAGTAGACCGCTATCCCCATTGTTCTCTTAAATGTACAATTTCGCAATAATCTTTAAATAATAATAAGTAATTGTCCGCAATATTAACGAATTCTTTGATTTGAAAAAAGCAAAATCTCATTTTTGCAAAAATTTCAAAAAGTTGCATCCGCAATTTTTTATTCCCTCTTCTCTCCTTCATACGATTAAATAATTTGTATGTATACATATAATGTATGTACGTATTGTATGTATATGTATACATATATATACACACACCATATATATATATATATGTATATATACTTATTTATTTGTTACAAATATTATTTTTAAGCCAAAAGAATCTTTTTGATATGGAAACAAGTAATCAAATATTTCTTCATGTGTGCAACAATATTTCACAAAAAGAACTGAATAAAAAACTATACAATGTATCTTCTTCAAATTGTATTATCTATTTTCATTTTGCAATGGGAATAGCTTTCTTCTTACCAAATTAAAATCGATTAATTGCGTCCGTTTACGACGATGCTAACATCAAATTCGGAGAAAGCTGCGCGTCGTCGACGATGTTTGACGGTACTCATGCGCAGAGTACCAAAAACAAGAAGCAGGTGGAAGAAAAGGAAATGAAAAGAGTAAGACCAGCCGCGCAGATCTCTCATGATATCTTTGTATTACTTGACTCCGGTTACATTGTACTAGGATTTGGTTAAATTGACGTTACACAACTAATTAGCTTCCTAATTAGCTTCGTGGCACGTTGGGCACTATCTATCCTCCAATCTCGAATTCACGCATGAACTCCAACGATCTCCATAGTCTTTTAGAGTCTCTATTCTCCTTTTGTCTTCGACGAGTCGATTCATGCGTTCACATGCATCCGGATAATCTAGACCGATTCGCGAATTGTCTGGAAATTACAGAACTGCGCAACATGGATCTTATCGTCCACGTTTTTCGTGTCTCCGCTTGAGTCGACTCAACCGACTCGTCCAGCGAGAGACCTTATAGCTACACTATACATTCTGTTTTTCGCCCGCTTTTCTTCAATGTTACAGTATAGGCATACGCACACCATTTGCGTTTCTGCTCGAGCCGACTCGCGACTCTCACATGCATAGAGAACTGCACGATGCAGACGTAGGATATGTAGGAGACGTAGAACAATTCTGTCCACGCGAAATCGAGCGATCTCAAAAGCCAAGAGCGTCGGAACATCCCGTTCTCGAAACTCGCGCTCATGGACGCAATCGCGAAGATTTTCGCGGGCACGAAACGATGAAGCTCTCGTCCGATCCCGGCTCCATGAGATCTCCGAGACTCTCGTTAAGTACTAGCAACTCCAATTTTTTGGATATCGATCTGTCTTTCATCAACACATAATAATCGCACGATAATCGTTGATTTTGTCACGTCGCTTCGAACAATATCTAGAATCGTAGGAAGTATCGCTGTGACGATATCGCGCGATCAGGATTATTTATATCGTGTAAAAATAATTTGAGAATTAAACGATCGTGCGATTTCGTCTCAGCGAAGTTATTTTTTTACAGGAACCTAAAAGGTTTCGCTTATTCTTCTAAACGATATGCAGTCGACGCAGCGAAGAAACTATTAGACTTCGATTGCCTTCCATCGCAATTTTCGACGAAATTTTTTTCAGGACATCAAATTGTATAATTCGTTTCTCAAAATATCGTTTGCCTTTATCCATTTATCATCGCTTTGCCTTATTTTTTCTTTTTTTCCCTTTAAACTCTATCTATAACGCATTAATTCTTAAATCGTACATCTATCCTATCTATACGTATATACAGATGTTCAATACGTCCTCAAAAACGATGGACGTATCTTGAGATATATGTACCGTGAATTACAATATATCGATGACATTTTCTCGAAAGGGGGAGGAAGTCAGTTTCTTTTTTTGGTTTTTCGCTCGATCGTTTCTCTTTTGTTAATTCTTCTCTCTCCTTCGTTTTCTTTCACTCTCGCCCCTTTCGCACACGCACACACACACACACGCACATACACACGTAGCAATAACGGCGACACACACATACATTTCGCGAATCACTTTTCTTACATTTTGCATTACGTTACACACATGCAGGAGGGGTTGGCGCAACCCTTCTTAGGAACCGAGCGGGACAAGCGAACGGTCGTAATTCCTCAGGCATAAAGATTCGCGTCTCGCTCATCATTTGGATAAATCTTAGTCGGAGTGTGAAACTCTACAAAACTAGAAAGCAATCGGACCGTATCGCGCGATAAAAAATTCCAAGAGACTACAACCTGTTTCGCATTGTACATCACAGATTTTGTTCGTTTCGCATTAGAAAAAAAACGAATACTTTGGCTATTAAAACGTATCTGCACGTATTCGTTCATGAAGTATTCGCGACCGCACATATTCTTTACATATCTCTATTTTCCTACAAGAGGCTCGATAGAAGTAAAAGAACAAAGCGATCCTGATTATCAGATAATTTCTGAAGTCATGCTTTTTCTGAGTAAATTGTATTATTCGACTCTAGGTTATTTATTTAATTTATATTAAACATATAATTCGATATCATAAGCAATACGGTCCAAATATTCCCTGTTTCCTATCGATTGCTTTTATCGTGTATTCTCTTTGTTTTTCTCCCTTTCTTTTTCATCAGTTTACACATGTATATATAGATATATATATTTTTTCGATATAATATATATATTCATTTATTCGTACGCTTATATGCCTATATATGTACAAAACGCTAAATGACTCTGGATATGACTAAGTGATTTTTTTTTCTTTTTAATGCTCGCACGCGGAGAACGAGTTCCCCTTCAACTTATATCAACTCTTTCGTCTTTTTTTCAGCAGTTTCTTGTCTCATCACCTAAAAGTTAAGTGTATTTCTATTACGAAATTACAAATGCGTAAAGCGTATTGCATTGCCTTCCCCCAAACAGCACGCCTTCCTGATTTTTGCGCTCTTCTCTCTCTTTCTTTCCTTATTTCTCTTCTTTTACGGGCGACACACGCGGATTCAGACACAAATGGATCTCTCTCGTTCAGTGGTCCTCAACCTTTTACATTTTCTTCGTATTATCTCGAGAACGTTTTTAATCGTGCTTAAATTTTTTTTGTTTATTCTCATTCATTTTTCTGGTTGATATCTCAAACAATGGTTTCGCGATTAAAACGAACGTGTTTGTTTAATCACCTCGAATCGATTGTTTTTCGATTGGAAATTAATCAGAAAAAATGATGAACCAACTCTTCTTCGACTCGCCGATTTGTAGTTTGTTAATCTGGCAAAGTTAAAGCGATTGTGAAAAATAAACTTTTAAAATACGATTAAAATGTGAAATATATATCACCGATAAACAATGAACGTATACGTCCAATAAATATATAATATATAAGACAGTATATAACCGGACGTAACTATGGAAAAAATTAAAAACTTCATCGTTTTATTTGTTCTAAAATATATTGGGTTAGGGAAAAAGTTTCTTTTTATAAATTATTTCGGTTTTTTTATCGAAGAATCACAGAAGTTCTACACCGATGGAATAATGACTCTATCCGAAAAATGGCAAAAGGTCATCGATCAAAACGGCACATTTAGTTTAATAAAAGATTTGTAAACAATTAAAAAATATGTTTTAATTATACTATATGTAAAAGGACTTTTTCTCTAACCTAATAGTATAGCGCATATGTAATCTTCAAAATAAATTCAAAAATGTAAACATTCTCTCTTGCATAGATACGTCCCGTCAATTTTATATCGAAATAAACCTTATTCATGATTCAAAATATGCGTTCTACGCATATCCCCGGCTTACAATTTGCGTCACAATCTTTAAACGCAATTAACGATTTATCAAGTTCAATCTCGAGATTCTTCGAATGAAGTTTTTTGCTCCGAATGACGATCAGCTGGTTCCATGTTACGTTTCGCTTCCAGAATATCGTGCCGTTCTTCCACAACTCTCCTCCGCTTCTTCTCTGGTTGTTCGTCATCATCATCATCGTTATCCTCTTTCATTTCTTCCTCGCTGGAAGGTAACTTTTCCTCGGCTATCAGACTCACCGATGTGTCGGCCCCTACGGAGTGTCCCCCTACTGCGGTTTTCAAAAATGTACATCTCTGACGTCTGTTGGCGTGCCCGCCTTCTCGTGTTCCAGTATTTTCTCCTGACTCGTGTTGTTCTGGTCCCCCAGCGGCCTCTGCGGTACGCTCGGGACTCCAGTACTCATTGTCTGATGCCCGCTTCCGTTTCCGGAGACTTCGGTGCTCACGTGACCGGCCTGCGAGATCATCTCCTCGATTTGCTCTAGGCAGCCTTGCAAATAATCCTGAAACAAGGAAACAATTTCATAATATTGTAATCATGTCACTTATTCTATTATACTTTACTGACAAAGTTCTAATTATTCTAGAATTAATATAATACGCATTTCTTATTTTAAATATCTTGTATGTTTTAAATATATAAATACAAAAAAAACGTAAACAAATGAACCATTTTATAGAATCATTTTATCATCTATGCTTCCTAAAAGCTTTTCTATTTAATATAACTATTTTTGAATAATAAAATTAAGAACATTTTGTTACTACACGTCTAATTCGTTTTTTTTTTAATCTCTCGTTCATTCTCGCGCGTCCAATATGAATCGTATTGTAGATCAAATTCTAACTTTTAACTTATACGATGAAGCAGGTTAAAATGTTACGCGTTAACCCTATCGAACTTAAAGGTCCAAAAGCAATCTGTATAGCTTGAGGTCATGAATGAAAGTCCAAGAAGACCGGATGCCGTCGAGGACGATATCTTCCTGGCTCTCTTGGGATCCAAACCGGCAGATGAGAACTGATCGTCGAAAATATTGCGCTTACGGGTCACGGACCCCATGCAGAGCTCCATTCATTCGCGCGGTTTGTTTGTGTTAAGCGTACATAGAGAAAGAAAAAAAGGAAGAAAGAAAGGGAAGGAAGGAGAAAAGGAAAGGGGAAAAGGAAAAGAGACTTGAACGGCGACCTCGTCGCCATCGTCTTCGACGACGAGCATACGGGGCCCGCAGCGTGCTTGGCGCAGACACTCGGTCCCCATTTTTTTTCCTTCCCCGCAAACATGTGCCTGACACCTGCTGTACTCTTCCTGCGCACTTCCCGTCACGCTTTTTGCGTCCCGCAAGGTCTGTCTCAACCACCAGTCGAGACTTGCGAAGGGCAAGTTCCAGCGTTTCTTGCCGATTTTGTGTCTCTTCAACGCGTCCGAACGCCAGACATCGGCGGCGCGCGCATCGCGACCTCCTCTCCTCACCCCCGATTGTAAAATTTGAAAATCTTTCATCGTTGTGCTCGTTTTAAAGCGCGTAAAGCCTATTCTACAATTGCGAAGCGTAGTTGTAAATGGTTGTAGTTGTGAGAGTTCACCAATCATAACCAATGAGGAGAATATTCGAATGTGATTGATCAATTTTTACAGCTACAACCACGCTTACAACTACGCTTACACAATTGTAGAATAGGCTTAAAAATCGCAACCCCTACAGCACAAAAGTTGCAGCAACACTGCTGCAATATTGTAGCAACATTGCGTGTTGCAGCAATATTGCAGATTTTGCAGCAATATTGCTGCAAATTCTGTGCTGTACGGGAAAGGAGCATAATTCGTGATCTTTTTCGCTTTACTCTGCAACATACACACACACACACACACTTCTGATACGCACGTTACTCACCTGTTCGATGGCCGTGATGCGGGTGAGCTCGTCCAGGAGACCGGCTAGTCCGTAGCCACTCTTCCCGGTCCAATCCAATCCGTGTAACGCCGCCGCTACACTTGCGGCTGCAATCATGCTCGGCGTATACATGGAGAACTTGTACTCTGCAAAACAAAGTTACTCATTAAATACGTGATCGCTTGAAAGATTTATATATGTATGTCGTACGTTTCCTATACATTTTTTTCACGTACATTCAGAATTCGCATGATATCACTTTATTTATATTAATAGACAGAGCACGCAAAGTTGCATATGACAATAATATGTAGCATAATTATAAAATCAAGAAAAAAGTAAATGCATTGTATCCGAAAAAAAATAAAATCTTTTGTATTGATATTTGAATAAGTAATAAAATAACTTTATCCAATATGGTCTACCTACATAAGTTGTAATTTTTGCTGAGTTTAACATCGAAAACGGATGGTCAGATTCAAAATAACAAACATTTTGAACGTTAATTGAAAATATGAGACCTTTTCAACATATACTTATCTATAAACATCAAATAAACCAAATTGGGCGTAGTTACCTTATTAATATTTGATATATAATGTTAATAATGGTTTTCTGTCTAAAATCGACTTTTGGTGCATCTTTTTTAAGGATAATCTTCTTCACGAGCATTTATCTCGCTTAAGTACATTCTTCGTTATTTACTCCAGTTATGGTTAGCAAACAATGAAGAGAAGAAAACCACTTTCGTAGAGATTTCTTGGATAGTTCTCGAAATTATGCGACAGATTTATGATAGGCGAGAACGGGCGGAACGTAGAGGACACGTGATGGCCCCTTTGTCCAGTAAGACGTTACTTTCGTCTCTTCAGGAAGAAAGTTCTAACGTTTCAACGTGAGCACGAACGATCCTCTACGGATCCTCGATGGATACGGGATATCGTTAACATCTGCACCAGCGGGGGTCTTCTTGACCGTCGTTTTAACGGTATTCTACGATTTTCACAGCAATGTTGCAAAGCTATTATCGATACATTCTTAATGATCCTGATTCCAAGTTGAAAGAAGGGACAAATATCACCCACATTATGTTTCTTAAATCGGAGCATATGTATTCCAAGGACGAAAGATTTACGTATTTAAATGGATTTAAAATATAATATTAATTAATACTAAAATTTAAGCAATAAAATTAAGGTACGATATTAGAGTTCGGATTCAAAATTTTAAAAAGACGTGAATAAAAATTATCATTCTGAAGTTTATTCATATATTTTTATTTATGTCCATATGAACTGCTAGGTAAAATAATGTTACATTTGATAATGCTATTTTTATATAATATTTGTTTTATATAATGCTCGTAAATTTTAATGAAAATAATTGGAAAAGTAAAGTTTTGAGTAACAATAAACTATTATATACATAAGATTTGTTTTCTATAGCTGAAATATGTAGTATATACTTTTAAAGATTAAAATAAAATAGATATATGTTAGATATTTGATTAAAGCGAGAAAGAAAGTTCTAATGTAATCAAATGCAGGAAAAAATAGATCTATTGAGCTATTTAAACACTACACACGTATAATCATGTTTACAATTACTATGTAAAGCGCATTGCCCTCTGTCTTATCAGAGATTGACTAGCGAAACTTTCGTCTATTTTGTAACGGTTTCAGAATTGGTTAATAATTTCATCATTTTATTCTAAGCTTGAATATCATTCTAGCAATTTCGAAAGAATAACTATACTCAGTTAGTTATGAAAGTTACTGAAAGCGTTCGAGGATAAATTTATACACATTTAATGTAAAGAAAGTATTTATGTTCCGATAAACTTACATAAAATAATCTGTATCAGATAAGATTCGTCAGAAAACTACACATGTTACCTTAATAGAAATACAAACGCGCCCGATCTGTCAACGCATCAGTTCATGTTATGCTTTGAGACGATCGTAGCTGATCGGTAATGAAATCGTCCGGGAAGAGAATGTCACGGTTATTAATTGGTGAAATTAGAAGCGTGCACAACACATGCAGATATGTAAAACCAGTTTAATAAAGAACACGCGAAGAATGTACGAGAGGAGACGCAGGGCGCGGAGATAGCTATGGAATGTGAACATCAGACGAAATTATCACGTTGCACCAGTACTTGTGCATACCGAAACTTAATCCCCGCGAGAGTGTTTAGCTTACATAATCAAAGCTATACACTTCGCGCCGTATCGTCACTTCCCATCGCTCTTGACGATGCGACCGTATTCATCGCCATCGTGTAAACAAATAATAATTCACGGCTACATATCGCCGCACCGAGCTTCGATGGGTAATCCTCTCTCCGTACGAATCTCCTTTCTCCTCGTTTGAAACGTTCGCTTTCTAAATTAATTTCTTTTCTTATAAGATTAGTATATAAATATCGTATAATTATCATTGGAACAGTTATATAAATGTAGGCACAATGTAGATGTTTAATCCTCCGGAATTAATATCAAAATTTGTGACACAATTACTGACTTTGTAAGATTCTCATTTAATTTATGTTGATTAAAAGGCACATTAATGGGTAAATTTTAAACAGAATCGTAAAGCTTGTATAACTTGTAAGAACTTATGATTAATATCGTAATTATACGCGTATGTACGATTATTCATAAATATCTACGATTTTTCGTAAATCTTACAGCTAGCAAGAAACTGTCTGTAAATATATTACATAAAGTTATAAGCACTTGTAAGTTCATATAAGTCTTACGAGATCATGTCATAAGCCTTACGATTTTACTTAAAATTAACCCGTAATTTTAAGGAACCTCTGATAATTCATATAAAAGAATGAATACTAAATATGTCTTGATAAGAATAATCCAAACTTCCAGATGTGACTTAGAGGAAACTGAATTCGACATTTTTAACAAAGAGATTTATAATTAATGAATTCAATGAACTCACCGTCAACTCTGAGAAGTGAATTCAAAAGCGCAATCTATAATATATAAAAAAAACAAAGCGCTAAATAATAACACAAACAAGCGATAAATATTTAGAATATTTTAGACATTTTTTCTGTGGTTTGCATACAACTTTCTGATGGTTTATAACCTATTTCACTGCGCAACTCTGCATGCTATCCAGTACGCAATTGTTATTGAAGATTCGTATATTTTTCGTCGATTATTTATTCTCTCGACTGTCGATTTCGCGGAAAATCCAAGACGGCTTATCGTCTCGCTTTCTTTCGAAAAAGAAACGCGAAGTGCCGAGAGCGGCTCTGCCTAGTTTGGTCCGTGAGAAACAATTCGCGACCTCATCCTATGTGTCCTCCTCTATTTCTCTTTCTCTCTCTTTCTCTCTTTCTCGTTTTCTGTCTCGAACCCGCCGAGTCTGTGATCCAAAACGAGCACCACAGGAGCAACGACGAAGGACGAAGGTCCTCTCCACGCACGCCACCGCTTTTTTGCCATCGCGGTTGTAATAACAACCGGCCGACCGCGATCGACCGATGCGGACTTGCGGGATGAAGAATCGAGAAAGAGAGAGAGAGAGAGGAAGGCGCAAAGAACGAAAGAACGACCGAAGCATCGGAGGAGGAAGAACGAAGAGAATGGAAAGACACGCGGGTTATGCCGATGTGTCTGCAGTCATACAGACGCATCCAGACATTTAAACGCATCCGATCCTCGATCTTTCTTATAGTCTCACGCTATCAGTCTGTCTATCTCGTCCCGTACTTCCCGACGGATTTTCTCTCTCGTTGCGAATCAAGAACAATAGACATGAATCATGAAGAATCCATCCATAATATTTTGAGAAATGATTTTTTGAGGACTAAAAAGGCTGTAATTCAATTTTCTGTTATATTTCATGTGCTTTAAAAAATTGTTTATATGAATCTTCAAGTCGTTTCAATTTATGCAAGTTTCTTTTTAAATGAATTTAATTTAGCTAATCTGAACACGCTCTATTTAGAAGATTGCAATTGCAAGTCGCCGTGATGCACGACAGAGATGTTAGAAATGCAGAAGACAACGAAAATGCAGTAAAATTCCAACGCCAGATTCCAGAGAAACCGTAGTCTCACGCCTAACGTGACTGGGCATTTAAACGCCCATTTAAACGCACGTAAAACCTTAAGTATTCCTCGTACCTAACAGGGCGCAGAATATCGAAATTTTTCCAGAAAAGTAACATTTTCCGCATTCATCACATTCCGTTTTCCATTAACCTTTTTAAATTTTTTTTTTTATTTTAAAGAAACTTCGAAATGAGAAAGGAACAAAAAAGGGACGATGGTAATTTCTTCATGCGACGATGGTAATCCTTACAATATTTTATTACTACTGTTGCCTGTATTTATCGGTTATTATAACATTGTAATTGTAATATATATTATAATATAAAATATAGTACATAATAATAGTACAGTATATATTATTTTTTAATACATATTATTATAAAATTTTTTAAATAATGTATTTATATATAAATAATATTTATTGACTATTAGAATCAAATATATACTACATTTAGTAGAAGTATACATCTATTTTCTTAGCGCAAATATTTTTTTCTTAGTACAAAACCGTCAGAACCAGGTTCTACGACGCAACGATGACCGAACAATAGTAAAAATGATAACAAATATCGTCGTACGGACAAACTTATACTACTTATTTTTATAGGACGCGCACAGGCCCTTCCTCTCCTCCTTCGGAACTAATGGGCATGAACAGACGGAAGTGCAAATAACCATAATAACGGATTATCCTCCTAAGCGCGCATTTCCACTGCGCGCCTTATTGGCGACTTCGTCTGTATGTATATGTGTGACCTATTTAACAAAGACAAAGAAAGAGAGCAAGAAAGAGGAAAAGTAAAAAGAAAGCTATTCGTGGCTGTTACGTGATGGTTTCCACTATCGGTGTGCGTTCTACGACGCACGTTTGGGGCGTAAGTTCATTAATGCGTAGGTATGTTAACGACGCACGTCGCCAGTTGTTAACGCCCCGCGTACCATATACGATAACGTGCAACAATGTGCGCACGAAGGGCACTTATTGTTAGAGAAGGCACTTGCCTCGTGTTCCCACTTACGCTCTACCTATATATGATTAATTTCATCTCTGTTTAACTTACTTTTTATCTTTTTCTGGTTTTAAAAATTTATAGAGATAAAAAATTGATAAAGATAAAGAAGTAAATAAACCGAGATTAAAGTTAATCCATATACATTGATAGAAATGAATATTAAAAATATTTGCGACCATTCCGATATTTAGAAAACTGAGAATTACTCTATGAACTCGAGTAGAAAGAAGTACGAATGAAGAAAGACTGGAAGATGCTTAATACAACAGCAACGCTGATAAGAATTGTTATAATTCCCTGTTGTCGACCTGCTATTAAGGGGATGCTGGAGTGTCCTGTTCTACTATTAATTATTAAAGACTTTTCTCTTAATTGTGTTTATGAATTGAAAGGTCCTTCTCCACAATTAAAGTATCGACAACAAGGCAATTCGCCAGCTACAATTGAATACGAAAAACGAAAGAAAATAGAAGACTTACAGTTTTGTTATCGGCTTCTGTAGTCGACACGTCACAATATGTGCTGCATATAAGAGCAATTCAGACCTTGCACGTTCATAAAAAGTAGCTGGCGAATTGCAGAAAACTTGAAAGAATAATCCTATGTTTTTAGAAACGAGATAGAGGCTTTAGTATAAGAGAAAAAAGTTGCCAAAAATTTCGTTTGTATATTACGAATGAAATTGACGTGAAGCCATGAAACCGAGCAGTATTTTAGTTGATCTCTTTCTAAGAGATGGCGTTGCAATATGTTAGATAA